AATCACCTTGTGCGTTGTTCGCAGATGACTTGAAGGTGTGGAGAGTAATCCGCACACTCAATGATTATGATTTGCTTCAGCAGGATCTCAACAGCCTCTCGACACGGTCTGCAGAGGTTAACCTTCCGATCAACCCGGTCAAGTCGCAATTTATGAAGTTGGGTAAATGTGAGCACAGCCGAACGTACACAGTGGCTGGTCAACCGTTGCATCCCGCGTCCTTCGTGCGCGACCTCGGTGTGTTCTCACGCTGCGACCTAAATTCCATTGACAACACGAATAGGCTGTACCAAAACAGCCTTCGTATGCTTTGGGCCCTCAGGCGCAGCTTCAGCAATTGGTCCGAAGAGATTGCTACTCGCCTCTTTGTCTGGATAATACGACCAATGCTAGAATACGGATCTCCCGCGTATTGTCCCATCACGCTGGGAGAGGTAGAAAGGCTTGAGCGGGTGCAGCATGTAGCAACCAGGCTGATTCCCAACTTACGAGGTATGCCATATGAAGACCGATGTAAGAAACTAGGGCTGTACACCCTAGCATATCGTCGGCTGAGGGTTGACCCCACCATGACGCACCGGATATTACACCTAAGTGATTACCACATGTTGAGACAACTGCTTCATCTGCGCACACAAAGCTGCACGCGAGGACACCGGTACAAACTTATCGTACCGAAGATGAAGCGGGTCCCTCATCAAGTCTGTTTCGAACGCAGAGTAGTGAATGTCTGGAACGACCTGCTGCAACATATCGTAGAGGCAAACTCAGTGTCCGAATTTAAGAAGCTTCTAGGCAAACACTATGCAGAGGCCAAATATAGAGAGCGAAACGATAAATAAGCCGTAAATGTCCAAGAGCGACGAAAGATGCAACTACACAGAGAAAGTTCTACTCGCTGCTTCAAAACAGTATTCGGTATCCATAATAATAATAATAATAATAATAATAATAATAATAATAATAATCATCCTCATCATCCTCATCCTCATCATCATCATCATCCTCAACATCAACATCATCATCATCATCATCATTATCAACATCATCATCATCATCAACATCATCATCATCATCATCATCATCATCATCGTCGTCGTCGCCGTCATCGTCATCCTCTTTCGTCATCCTCACCTTCTTCCTCATCCGCATCCTCTTCCTCATCATCATCACCACCATCCTCATCATCACCATCATCATCAGTATCCTCCTCCTCCTCCTCCTCATTGTCATCATCCTCCTCATCGTCATCCTATTCATCACCATCATCATCAGCATCCTCGTCATCGTCATCCTCCTCCTTCTCCTTTTCCTCCTCCTCCTCCTCCTCCTCCTCCTCCTCCTCCTCATCCTCATCATCATCATCAACAGCAATACATCAGCCTTTTGAACTTATGCTTCGCTGCCATACAACCACCATGACCTATGAAATAAAGAATAATAAGAAGGAGTGAAGTGGGACTTACCTGAAAATCTTAATACCCTAAGCAAACTTTCATGGCCAAGGCGTCTACACCTTGTGTACGCAACATACCGTCTCAAACAGCTGGCTTTCGTGCTAAGATATGCTGACCTCGACGAGACAGCTTCCTCGAGGCTTTCACTGCTACGCGTCATAATCAACCTTTACCCCGCAGATAACTCAGTATCAAACACACTTTAAACAGGCAACCCGAGTAGTAGACGGCTGGTGCTCTCATTATTGATTACATGCATCTGGAGACGCCGATGCAGCACTCACGGGTCAAGCTGGTGTAGGTAGCATTCTAAGCTCCAAGACTGAGCCATCGTTGGTCGATTGGATTCCGGTGAACAGCCGTTTATGTGTAGTCCGTTTGACGACATCAGCCAAGTTTGATTCACGAAGTAGTACAAGACGTTGTTTGTTTGTGATTTCCGCTTATGTCCCCACCGACTGCAGTTCAAATGCCGTCAAATACACCTTCTACCACGAACTGAACGCGCTACTACACAGTGCTACTAGTTCAGATATTATAGTACTTGCTGGAGACATGAACGCACAAGTAGGGTGTCTGCGCTCTTCAGAAGCTCAGCTGGGTGGTACTTATGGGATTAACTCCGAACGGACTAACAACGGCGAACGTCTGCTGAAACTGTGTGCCGAGCACCAGTTGTTTCTTAGTAGCAAAGCTTTTAGAAACAGTGGGCGCCGAATTGCCACTTGGCGTCCTCCTGTAGCTGGCTAGCGATGGACCCGAATTGACCACATAGCCATAATTTACAGAGGGCGTGGTTCCATCTTGAATTGCCGCTCGTACCGGAGTACCTGCTTCGACTCTGAACATGCCTTGGTACGCTGTCTTTTCTCCAGGAACTTTACCGGGAGGTGCATCAAGCGTACCCTCCGACTGGCACCTGAGAAATTGTCTCAGCCTTCGGTCAGTCAAGCCTATCAAGACGCACTACATGCCGAACTGTCTTGTTC